ATTATAGATTGTGGGCCTTGGATGATGGGGAGGTCCCAGAGACTTGTTGCCAAGAGACAGACATTCTTAGTCTCAACCATTGTCTGAACAAGATCTCCTGCTATGATTACTAGCCTTTGGAATTTTGAGAGCAAGGAATCCCAGCTGCTGCTTTACAGAAGGATATATATGCCAAGGACAAGTTAATACTGACAATTGTTAGCATTCTTTACTTTTTAGAATTCAGTTGTTTTTTTTCCTCCACCATTGTATTTTGGGTTTAGATAATTTAAACTTAGCCATATGTCACCTAAATGAATTTTGATTATTTAGGTCTATATCCAGATCTGTTGGAAACGAAGGCATTTCATCCATGTGATCATCATGGATCTGGAGTTGGATGTAGTAATTCAATGAGACTTTGGGTTGTTCCCTCCTTGTGAGGTAGATTGAAAGTAGTTTGTGTAAATGAGCACTTTTGAAAGTATATGTGTTAGAAGTAGGGTATGTAGGAAAAAGGGTAGCCAAATGAGTAGACTGCAGTTTTCCTAACAATTCTAGATCATCTTTTATAATTAGCCTAACCTTTTTTTGTCCAGTTCCCCTTGCTTTGTGAGTTTATTGATGTACAAGCCTAGTCATTTTTTTTTCTTTTTTTTTTTTTTTTTTTTGACACAGAGTCTCGCTCTGTCGCCCAGGCTGGAGTGTGGTGGCGCTATCTCGGCTCACTGCGAGCTCTGCCTACCTGGTTCAGGCCATTCTCCTGCCTCAGCCTTTCAAGTAGCTGGGACTACAGGTGCCTGCCACCACGCCCGGCTAACTTTTGGTATTTTTAGTGGAAACAGGGTTTCACCGTCTTGATGAAGATCAAGATCAAGATGATCTTGATCTCCTGACCTCGTGATCCCCCCACCTCAGCCTTCCAAAGTGCTGGGATTACAGGCGTGAGCTCCTGCGCCCGGCAATAGTCATTATATTTAAATAAACATAGGATAAGACTTGCTTGGAAATCCTCTTCTGGTGGCTGTGAGCAAGGAAGCCTAGTTGCTACCAGCTTCCTTCTTGCGACCATGATGGGAGCTGGATATGGATAAAGATAAAGCTCTGCACAGCAGAGGGAGAGTTGTGGGGAAAAACAAGTTCCTCATATCACTGAGGGGCCAAGTTCAGAATCTGCCTGTGGTGAGCAGCATAATACTCCCCCAAAGATGTCCACATCCTAATCCCCAGAAACTGTGAATATATCACCTTACATCCTTACATGGCAGAAAGGACTTTGCAGGTGTGATTGAGGTTACAGACCTGGAGATGGGTGAGTATCCGAGGTGATCTTAGTGGGCCCAGTTTAATCACAGGAGCTTTTGATAACAGAAGAGGGAGGCAGAAGAATGGATCAGAGAGCAGAAATGAAAGAAAAAAGAGATATGAGGGAGACTCAGCTTGCCTTTTCTGGCTTTGAAGATGAAAAAAGGAGATTATGAGCCAAGGATTGTGGATAACTTCTAGAAGCTGGGAAATGTCCTTAGCTAACAGCCAGCAAGGAAATGGAGACCTCAATCCTACAACTGCTGGTAATTCAATTCTGCCAGCTTGGAAAGAGATCCTCCCCTAGAACCTCAGAAAGGAACACAATCCAGACAGATGACACCTTGATTTTAGCCCAGTGAGAGTCATGTCTGACTTCTCTATGTAACTAAAATAATAAATTTATGCTTTTTAATCTATTAAGTTTGTGAGAATTTGTCATAGCAGCAAAGGAAACGAAGTCTTATATCTGGAGTTGGGTGGCATTAGCACATTTCTTAAATATTGTGGAATCCCAATTTCTCTTAGCTGTCAGCGTTTTGGTTCTTATATTGTACTTTGGGCCAGCTGGATACTGAGTTCTTATCACTAGCAATCTGATGGATTTGAAAATTATTAAGTTCTCTTTAAAGATCTCCAAAGAAATAATTTTATTTTCTTTATTATAAAAAAAAAACTTACTTGAATACTTTTAATCTCTACTTTAGGCAACCGCCACCCCATAGCTAAATACCTTGTATGAACTTGTGTTTCCACTTAAACTTAGAGATAAAATACTTCCCAGAGTTTCATTTACTGAACAAAAAATTACCTACTATATGTAGGTTGTCTTGGAACCTATTCTAAATGATGTAATTAACTATGACATAGGCATTCCATCCAAAGCACTTATACTTTGTTGTAGTTGGCTTAAATGAGACAGCATGTTAGCACAGAGTAAATTAAGAGTTCCTGGTCTACAGAAAGATATACAAGATTCCAATTCTATTTCATCCACTCAGCTTCTCTATCATATGAGTTTTCTCATCTGTCTTTTATGTTTATTTACTTAATAAAATACCAGTTAAAAAGTAATGACCAAAATTTAAAACCCCACAAGCAAGAGTGTAACTACAAATTCTAAGACTTGAGTGTTGTGTTGATTTTGAGCTTTCCACCCCAGAGCTTAAAGTACATGCAGGGTTCAGAGGTGACAGACTTTGACATCTATCCCTCATTAGTATTGCTGCAGAAAAACATGGGGAAACATTTCTAGAAAATTATTTTATATATTTTTAAAATTTAAGATAATATGAATATTAGCACAGATTCTGATGCTTATTAATGTCTTTTGGTAAAAGAGAACTTTGTATTTGCTAGTTCTTCAGATTCTTACCCAGTTATTTATCAAGCAGGTGAAGCTCCCTGCCTGATGCACTAGAAGTCAGTACTGGGATACTGGGTTTTTGAGAAAAGAAAAGCTATTATTGCAGGTAGACTCACAAGGAGACAGGAGGTCAAGCCCAAATCTGTCTCCCCATGCTAGCTTCAAAGCAGTAATTTTATTAGAAATGGTTTGGGGGTGGATTCTAGGATCTTTAGGTGATTCGTGGAAGGAAAGGGAGGTGTAGAAAGTCCTTGGGCAAGCACAGTTGTCTCTTTATGCCTCCTTATGGGTACCATGTGCAAATTTGGGGAGAGTTAGTATAAAACACACAGTGGAAATTCAGGCTGTGATGTCAGCAAGCTCATTCTGTATAAACTTCGTTTGGCCATATTGGTTCCAAATGATTTCAGCCAGTATTGTTACAAGCGGAGGGAATTTGAGTATTTCAGTAAGTTTTCTTATATGCCATCCTGCAAGCTTAAGAATTTCTACTAGTCAATGGTTTCTTTATTTCTTGGGGACACAGTTTCACTTACATGTTACTGTGCACAGAAAAGAGTCTTTAGGCTCATTTTACCTATTGTTTCTGAAATGGAAGTCTTGAGACTCAGAGTTTCTGTCATTTAAAGTCATGATTTAGATCATTTCTGAATAAATTTGGAAAGCCAACCTTATATGAAATTTTTAGAGGCAGAAATAGATCAAAAACCAACTTTTCTATAGGTCATTTTTTTTACTAACATATTCAGGTCCTTTTTTTCCCAAATATAATTCTGAAGACACACTGGAAAATAAAAAGTATTAGTAGTATAATTACCAATACAAAACTCCAGGGAATATTTTCTACTTCAATTTACAGAGGATTTTGTGGCCCTGGATCAGATTTTTATTGTTACATTTGTTTCATTCCACTGAAACCCTTATGATGATATAATGGTAGTCAGGGAGATGACCAGGTTAGAAAAAAAAAAAAAAAAAGAATTTGGCCCAAAATACCCTGGTGCCACTGTGGAAAAACCCTGCTGTAGGGTTTACATTATACATCTTTAATTTATTCTGGTGTACCTTCAAATGTTACTTTTATGTGTAGTGTAAGACTCTTAGACAGTAATCTTAGTGGGTCACAGAATTGACTGATGTCAAGTTGAAATCAAGAGCAGGAAATGCCAATTTGTGGAGCCAAGAGTTAAGGCTGACATTTCCAAGAAATAGAAATGATCATTATCTAATCAGTCAGTCTTGCTTTTGTGGTCCTGCCTACTGTTAATGATGAGTCATTCTTGAAAGTAAGTATTAATATACTTATTAATAATACTTATGTGCATGGTATACTTTAAACAAATTCTGTAACTGGTATTCCAGGAAATCTTGGAACCTTGTGGTTCTCAAGAACAATTTGCCTTTTGTGGTATATACATTCCTTTGCTAGGTTCTGTAGATTCTCCATTGCAGATAATCATTTGGACCCTAGTGTCTGAACCACTCTATTGTACCACCTGGTGTGGCAATTTCTGCTGCCACTACTCCTGAGCAAGCCATATAGAATATCTAATCTGCCAATTTTAGGGAAGGGATATATATTTTATATGTTTAAATGGGTCTTGTAGTGGAAGTAGTAGAATTGGGGCTTTCTATACTTCAGATTATAGTCTTTTCTGAGGTTGATTCGTAATTTTCTTTACCTAAGATAAGATCCTGTAATCAAATATTAGCTTGTTTCTCCCAGCTGTTACCTAAATCCCTGAAGAATGGAGAATGTCCCTAATAATTGACTATGTTTGTGCATATGTGTGTGTGTTTGTGTCTATAGATGTGTAGAGATACATAGATGTAGACAAGGTATTTTGTTTAGAAAATGCATGTTCTTCCCTCCATAACACAATTAACAAAAATGTGAGCTCTAGAACCTGACAGACAAGAATTGGCGTATATAATTCCAACTCCTTTGTCATTTTCCTACTTTGGCAAGATTTAACTTTCTGAACCTATTTTCCTCGTCTTAAAAATGTCGATAGCAACAAAATAAACTATAAAAACTTGGGAGGTTGAGAATGAAATGAGAAGATGCATGTAAAGTTTAAGACTTTGTACTGGTTACACTAGCAGCATTTAAGAAATGTTAGCCGCTGTTATGTTAGACCAGGGATGATGATAATGTTCATAAATCTTGGATAAGTAATCCTGAATTTGTTTCTAAGATGATTTTTCAACCTAATTTATCATCACAGTATAGTAATACCTCTGAATATCAATACTTCTCTTACTTTCTAACTATGGCCAGTGGAAATACGTATCTTCTTGAAAATTTTGTTGATACTTATCTTTAACTGTATACATTGTTTTACATTAGGTCAGAGATGCGTGAAAGTGGAAGACATTGCAGAGAACTTGAAGAACATTTCTGCTTTTTAGCACTTCCGCAGAGTGATGTAGCCCAGATATATCAGAATGGAATAAGTACCAGAGCATCTACATTGAAGATACTAGGAAATCCTCTTCTTGGAATTTATATGTTTAGACATGTTGATATTGCCTTGAATTATTCTCATAGTCGAAGCATTACTGTAGAAAGTATTTTAATTTTTAAGGTAGGTATCATAAAACAAATATTAAGTATATGGACAGTTTGCTTTAAATTGACCTGAACATATTATCCTTTCCATATAAAGTGTTAATGTTTTTAAATTCCAGTCTATTAAATAAGTAATACTTATTTTTATTATTTTTGTCATCATTATTCAAAATTTTCTCCTTTCCTCTTTACTTGGGTGTGCAACACAAAGCAAAAAAAAAAAAGCAAAGGCAGCCTCCGTCTTTGTCTTCCCAATATATATATTTCTCTGTTCTAATAGGCCCACCTTTTACTCTCTTATTTCTATCATAATAAGTACTATGGTGTTTTACATACCCTCATCTAAAGCATTATATTATAATAATTTTGGTTTAAGCTAGTTCTTTTTAAACTCCTGTAGTTTATTTTAGTTAATAGTATTGTATCAATGTTAAATTCTTAATTTTGATGATTTTGCTATGGTTATGTAAGATGTTAACGTTAAGAAAAGCTGGGCACAGGGTATATGGGACCTTTGAACTATTTTGTGCATGTGTGCGTGCACGCGTGCATGTGTGTGTGTGTGTGTCTCAAAGCCTTATTGAAGAAAATTAGCCACCACGTAAATGTCCAGCAATAGTGTATTATGAATGTATCACATATTATGTCTCTGAAATAAGAAGTATCTGTTGCAGTTAGATTTATGGAGAATTCTTAAAGATGTGGGAAAATGCTTATGCAATCATGTTTAACTTTTTAAATTTTTAAAAAATGAGGTATCAAATGATATAAAATGTGCTTAGTTGTTATGAGTGATGATCTTGGGATCATGACAGTATAGTTTTCTGTACTTTCTAGTTTTCCAAATTAGCATTTTCCAAACATCCAGTGGTAAGTGTTCCTTCCGTTCCCTTCCGCTTCCCCTTCCCCTTTCCCCTTTCCCCTTTTTCCTTTCCCCTTTCCCCTTTCTCCCATTTTCTTCTTTTTTCTCCCTTTCTCCCTTCCATTTTCTTTCATTTTTTTTGAGAGAGAGTGTCACTCCGTCACCCATACTGGAGTTCAGTGGTGCAAGCTCAGAGTGCAGCATTTCTAACTGTAGTAAATGAGATTGCTTTCCTGATTTCCTTTTTAGACGAATAACTATTATCATATAGAAATACTAATGATGAGTGTTTGTTGATTTTGTATCCTGAAACTTTACTAAATTTATCAGTTCTAAGAGGATTTTTTTTAAATGACACTAGGTTTTCCTAAATATAAGATCATGTCATCTACAAACAAGGATAATTTGACTTCTTCCTTTCCCATTTTGATGCACTTTATTTTTTTCACTTGCCTGATTGCTCTGGCTAGTACTTTTAGAGCTATATTGAATAGATGGTAAAAGTGAGCATCCTTGTCTTCTTCCAGATCCTTGTAAAAAGGCTTTCAATTTTTCCCCATTCAGTATATTAGCTGTGGGTTTGTCATATATGAGTTTTATTGTTTTGAAATATATTCTTTCTATACCCAATTTGTTGGGACTTTTTGTAAAGGAATGTTCAGTTTTACTGCTTTTTTCAACATCTAATGAAATAATAGGTTTTTGTCCTTGATTCTCTTGATGTGATTTATCACATTTATTGATTTGCATATGATGAACCATCCTTGCATCCCTGGTATGAATCCCACTTGGTCATGATGAATGATATTTTTAATATGTTGTTGAATTCAGTTGCTAATATTTTGTTGAGGATTTTTACATCTCTGTTCATCAGGGGTGTTGGCCCATAGCTTCTTTTGTTGTCTTTGGTTTTGGCATCAAGGCAATACTGGCCTTGTGGAATGAGTTTGGAAGTATCTCCTCCCCTTCAATTTTTTGGAATAGGTTGATTAGAATTGGTATTATTCTTTAATGTTGTTTAGAATTTAGTGGTGAAGCCATCAGGACCTGGGCTTTTTTTTGTCGGAAGACTTTATTACTGTTTTGATCTTGTCATTCATTATTTACTTGTTCAAGTTTTCTGTTTCTTCATGGTCCAGTCTCAATAGGTTGGATGTCCAGGAATGTATCTGTTTCTTTGGGGTTTTCCAATTTATTGCTGTATAGTTATCATACTAGTCTCTAACGATGCTTTTTATTTCTGTCATTTCAGTTATAATGTTTTCTTTTAGTTTCTGATTTTATTTATTTGGGTATTCTATCTTATTTTCTTAATCTAAGTAATAGTTTGTATATTCTGTTTACCTTTTTTTGAAAAATAACTTTTTTGTTTCAGTGATCTTTTTGTTTTTAGTTTTAATTTTATTTCTTCTCTGATCTTTATTATGTCTTTCCCCCTACTAATTCTGGGTTTGGTTTGCTCTCACTTTCTAGTTATTTGAGGTGCTAATAGAATTCTGTCCGCTTACAATGTTGTTGTTGATAGGTAAGAACTTACTACTGCCATTTTGTTGCTTGTTTTCTAGTTGTTTCATAACTCTTTCTTCCTGTCTTCCTCTGTGTTTTATTTTCTCTGGTAGTATGTTTTAATTCATTGCTTTTTATTTTTAGTGTTTCTGCTTTTTGGTTACCCTAAGGCTTACATAACACATTTTGTAGTTATAGCAAGTTATTTTAAACTGATACAGCTTAACTGTAATTGCAAAGAAAAAAACCTATACACACCAATTTCCTTTTCTTCCCACATTTTGAATTTTTGATAATCACAATTTGTATTATGTATATTGCTTGTCTCTTAAAAATTGTGGTTAAGTTTTTTTCATTTTGTCTTAAAAAAAGATACAAGTGGTTTATACATCATGATTACAGTATCAGTATAGCAATCATATTAGCATTGTTTTGGTTTTGAACAGCTCCCTTTAGTATCTCTTATAGGACTAGTCTGATAACAATAAATTCCTTCAGCCTTTTTTTTTTTTTTTTGGTCTGGGAAAGTATCCCTTCTATTTCTCCTTCATTTCTGAAGGATAGTTTGCTGGCTACGGTAAAAACTTTCTTTTCTTTTTTTCCCTGAGGACATAGCTTCAGACTCCCGGGCTCTAGTGATCCTCCTACCTATTTTTTAGATGTTTATATATATGTCTTTCATCAGATTTGGGAAGTTTTCAGCCTTCGTTTCTTCAAATAGTCCCTCTGCCCTTTTTCTCTCTCTGCTTCTTAGACTCCCACAGCATATATGTTCTTACGCTTGATGGTGCCCCACAGGTCCCTTAGGCTCTGTTCACTTTTTTTTTTTTTTTTTAGTCTTTTTTCTCTTTGTTCCTCAGACTCAATAATTTTCATTTTCCAATCTTTAAGATCACTTATTCTTTATTTTGCCTGCTCAAATCTGCCTTTAAACCCCTCTAGAGAGCTTTTCGTTTTAGTTACTGTACTTTTCAGCTATAGGATTTCTTTTTGGTTTTTAAGTTTTCTCTTTATTGATATTTCCATTTTGTTCATACATTGTTTTTTACTATCTGCACATACTTAGCTCTTTGAGCATCTTTAAGACAGTTGTTTTAAAGTCTTTGTCTAATAGATCAGCCATCAGGTCATTTTCAGGGACAATTTCTGTTTATTTTTTTCCTTTGAATGGGCTATACTTTTCTGTTTCTTTACATGCCTGGTGATTTTTTTTGTGGAAAACTGGACATTTCATCTAGTAATGTGGTAACTCTGGAAATCATCTCCTCCCAGGGTTTGGTTGTGGTTTTGTGTTTCTGTTTTTTGATTGTTGTAGGCTATCTCTGTGCAAAGGATCAATCTGAGGTACAAACGTCTCAGACTTTTCTGAGCCTGCACCTTTCCCTCTGTGTGCTGATTTTCTGATTTCTCCTGTATCTGTCGTTGCTTTTGAGTGTAGTATTTTTTTATGTCTGATTCCAAAATAGGGGAAAAGAAAAAAATGAAGAAGGGAAAAAAGGCACTGGCTCTTTAATCCCGTGGGTGTCATTTCAGCCAGGCCAGGAGGGGCTTGCAACAATGGTATAGATGCAGAAGTGCCTGCCACTTCTGGCTACTCCTCTGTTATTAATAGAAGCAGCACTCAGTGATGAGAACACATATCCCCTATGTTTATTATTGCCCACTCTGGCCTTCAAAAATTATGGCCAGGAACACATGTACAAGCTGCTCCAGGAACACTGTACAGCTGCCTGCCATGGGGCACCAAGAGTGGCTGCCACTATGCTGAGAACTGAAATTGACTGAAATTAACCATAATACAGGTTGAGCATCCCTAATCCAAATATTTGAAATCTGAAATGCTCCAAAATTTGAAATTTTCTGAGTGCCAACATTACACTCAAAGGAAATACTAATTGGAGCATTTAGAGTTTCAGATTTCCTTATTAGGGATGCTCAACTGGTAAGTATAATACAAATATTCTGAAATTCAAAAAAATTCAAAATCTGAAACACTTCTGGCTTTAAGCATTTTGGATATGGGATGCCCAACCTGTATGCTATCCAAGCGTTCCCCTGAAAGTTGCAAGCCTTCAATAGGCTCCAGAGTTCCAAAATAGTTACACCAGACAGATTTTACCAGTGCAGTTATTGTCTATGTGGGGAGACAGATTTCTGATACCTCCTACTCTACCATCTTCCCAATTGACCTCTGAACTATTTTTACAACTTTTCTGAAATTGTAAAAGCTATTCAAAATCTTAAAAATAAGTCTCATAGCGGAATCACAGGCATCCACAGATAAATTGGTTAAGATTTACTCTGATTGTTTTTCTTGGAGAAATAAGCGTAAAGAGAAATCTAAGGGTGAAGAAAAGAAAAAAAAATTTACTCTGGTTAAGCTTTGCCAGGACTATTAAAATCTCAGTAGGTATCCTGATTTGCATGAAAACAGCTTGGAATTGTGTGTATAGCTACAGAAAATCAATGGTTCCTGTGATGTAATTCCTTACAATTTTTTTGATCTCAAATATCAAATTAAGCATAATTTACTTTTATGTTAAAAAGTAATAGATAAGGATTTTAGAAAATTTGAAACGTTGTAAAGGGTCCAAAAAGCCCAGCAGTAACCCCAGGGTTTTTTGTGTATGTGTATTAGTCATCTATTC